TATTTGTGTTAGACACTTGTTGGATTTTTTTTTTTTTTCACTTTACGCTCTTAAAAAAAAAAATCTAAATACATGTATTTTTATACTGTAAAGAAATGCATAGAGTGTTAGACACTTGTTGGATTTTTTTTTTTTTCACTTTACGCTCTTAAAAAAAAAAATCTAAATACATGTATTTTTATACTGTAAAGAAATGCATAGATAGATTTGCATCTACAAAATAATTTGCAATAGACTATTTAATTAATTAGAAAATTAAGAACTAGACTTTAGATCAAACATCTTTAAGATCAATAGAATCTTCCAGTCATTCAGGTGTGTCCAAACATTTGGCACTCTCTGTTACATAAATGTGTATTGGAAATGCCGGTATGATAAATTATGATGTGATACATTATTTGCATGTGTGTGGATTCACGACAGAGAGTGTTGTCAGTTCTTGGGAGATGACGTGCTGTCACTGAGGATGCTGCTCTCTCGCGTGGCTCCTTTTGGAGTGCTGTGGACTCTCACCAGCTACCTGTACCTGCAAGGCCTTCGCAGAATCCCTGCCACTGATGCCTGTGCCCTTTTCTGCTGTAGTCGTGCCTTTGTCTTCCTAATATCCTGGATTGTCCTGCGGGATCGCTTTATGGGAGTGCGGGTGAGTCTATGATACATAAATTGATCTATAAAAAGCTTTAATTATGCTTAGTTGCGAATAAGTCTATGGATTTTTACTTTTTATCATAATGTACTTTGTTCTATCTAATCACAGATTGTGGCAGCCATTTTAGCCATTGGGGGCATTGTTATGTTGACATATGCCGATGGTTTCCACAGCTATTCTGTGATAGGCATCTCCCTTGTGGTTGGTTCTGCATCAACAGCAGCTATATACAAAGTAAAATGGGATTACAAAGCACAACAAACACATTTTAGACTGTCATACACCAATGACCTGCTATTTCAGAGATGTTTAAAATGAACATGCAATTATTTTATACTCTTTGTCTGTAGAGAAATCTGTAAGGGTAAATATGTTTCTTCAGGTTCTGTTTAAGCTTGTTCTGGGTAGTGCAAAGCTGGGTGAAGCAGCTGTGTATCTTACTGTCCTTGGTGGAGCTAATTTGGTCTTCATTAGCACTGTACCTCTGATCCTGCTTCTCATGGGGGCCGAGGACTTTGTTTCACCTCGAGATTTGCCATGGCCAAGCATCTGTGGCATGTCCGCTCTTCTGCTGGGTAAGAGGATACAAACTTCTCTTATCTACACAGATTGAATGTGTGCCATGAGAATGAGAGTTCAAGCAACTGATAAAATATCACAATAATCCACAAGTAATCCGCACAAATCCAGTCTATCAGTTAACATCTCCTGAAGTGAAAAGCTATGTGTTTGTAATAAACAAATCCACCATTAATATGTTTAACATCTGACTCTTTTCTTTGGCTGCTCTTTTAGTGTTCAACTTCCTCTTGAATTTTGGTGTTCTGATAACACTTCCTACTCTGATTTCTCTGGGCGTCGTCCTCAGTGTGCCTCTCAATGCTGGTGAGTCATAATAGAGCCACTTGGGGGTTTTTTTGTAAAGATTTATGTTGTTAGAAATTCGTATTTCTTCTGTAATCCACAAAAGGTGATGTTAGGCATTATGTTAACTCTGTTCTTTTCTATACATTAAATGTAAATATTGACCAGGGGTCGTCAAACTTGTGTGTGTGTGTGTGATATTCTTGGAGTTTGACAACCCTTGATCACCATTTACTTCCATTGTATGAAAAAAGTCAGCGTCAACATTCTGTTAAACATTTCCTTTTGTTTTTCACGGAAGAAAGCAAGCCATACAGGTCTGGAACAACATGAGGAGGAGTAAATGATTTTTTAATTATTATTTTACTCCTTTACCCCATAATATAAACTACTGTTATAAATCTTGGCTCATAAAAATGAGAGATGCCTCTGTCTCCTATGCAAACCAAGGCTGCATTTATTTGATCAAAAATACAGTAACAGTAATATTGTAAAATATTAGTACAATTAATTATTAATATTAGTAACAATTAAGATAACCATTTTGTCTTTTAATATATTTTTAAATTTAATTTATTCCTGTGATCTCAAAGCTGAATTTCCAGCAGCCATTACTCCAGTCTTCAGTGTCACATGACCTGTAAAAAATCATTCTAATTATGATAATTTGGTGCTTATGAAACATTTCTTCTTATTAACAGTGTTGAAAACAGTTGTGCTGCCTCATATTTTTGTGGAAACCAACAAACCTATTTTCTCATGATTCTTTGATAATTAGAATTTATTTGAAATAGAAATATTTTATAACATAAATATTGCTACTGTCACTTTTGATACATTTAATGCATCCTGACTTAGTATGAAGCATTAAATTCTTTAAAAAAATGGTACTGTAAATATCAAAGAGTTCATATTATTTGAATGTTCTAGATAGCCCTGTTTACATTAGCATCTTTGAGTTTCAACATGTTGAACTGTAATACCTGAGTGACCACCAAAATCTTTCATACTCCAGTCATAGATCGCTACATGTGTGAGATCCAGCTCAACAGTTTACGCATCATTGCGGTGTCCATCATTTGTTTGGGCTTCCTTTTGCTCTTACTGCCTGAGGACTGGGACCAGTGTCTGCCACAGTTACGATCAATGCTGTACAACCGAGAAGGGCCAGAAGAGAGCGCCAGAGACAAACACTCAGAAACGCTTCACATCAGGCCGAGAGAGGCCAAGAACTGCTACTCCAAAACTACTCCCAGCAACCACTGACTCTACATTTTATATTCATTCCAAAAGCTTCCGACAGGCACCAAATTACTCTCTTCCACATTTATGAGGCAATTTAGATGTACTGCACATCAGCAACTGATTAGATAGATGAAAGTTGCTAGAGACCCATAAAGGAGGGTGCTATAGACCAGAAGATAATTCTATGCAAAGTTTTAGGATTCGATTGGTTCACCTGTTACAGTTGTTGAGTTAATGATGAGCAAGTTTGTGTTTCATTTAAAAGTGCCACTGTGTGAGAGTTTGGAAATGTGTAGATTTGTATATTTCATTGTCGCGTCATGTGTTGAATGAAGTACCTTTGGTATATTGCCAGTATCTCCACTGCTGACACATTGTCACACTCTTCAGCATAACATAATACTTCTGATATGAGCTGTAATCTCACACTGGTTCTCTATACTCTGCATATGTATTTGACAGTGCTGTGGCCTCATATAATCTGAAAGAAAGCCTACACCCATAGATTCCTCAGAATAATATCTTGCATTATATCTCTATCAGTGGCAATACTTGGTTCATATATTCCTGTGGAATTAAGGCTAAATGTAAACCTTTGTAAGGATTTTTGTTACATCTTAATAGCAATAATAAAGAATGAATGTATATCTTATGCGTATTGTAGCATTCCGTTAGATAGATAGATGTACATATATACACAAACACTCATATTTAAAAATTACCATTTAAAAAATAAAAACTATTAATCACCAAGGACACATTACATAAATCAAATATCAAATAAATTCTGTTCTTTTGAATTTTCTAATCAAAGAACCCTGAAAGTAAATGCATCACTGTTTCCACAAAAATGTTATGCAGCACAATAGTTTACATTTTTGAAATGTTACTTGCAACAAATCAGCATATTTTATGATTTCTGAAGGATCATGTGACACTAAAGACTGACATAATGGCTGCTGCGAATTCAGCTTTGCCATCACAAAAATAAATTACATTTCAAAACATTTAAATGATAATATTCCATATTACTCTTTTACTGTATTTTTGTTCAAATAAATACTGCCTTGGTGAGCATAAGATACTTCTTTCAAATACCCATGCATTTATGTTTAATAAATAAAACATACACAATCAGTCATTTGTAATTTTAATAGAAATTTGCTACAGGTTTTGTTTAAATATATAAAAACAATTTCACATAATTTTACACATCACTTCAGAACCATACACAGGGGTTTCATATACAGAATGTGCCTTATAGAAACAGAAAATGTTTTTTAGGACAAAGGATTATTTTAACTCTCCTGTTACATTGGGGTATTAAAAAAATTATTGCAATACAAAGCAAGAATCAGTATGCACAGAAAGAAAGAAAAAAGCACGTAATGACTCCCCTTTTGCAATTAATTAAAAACAAATGTGCTATGCGGAAAGCAATGTTTAAACAATGATATCCAGTGATTTTCATATGACCATAATGCAAAAAAATTATACAATTAGAGACTTTTGACCCTCACAGACATTCTTTATAATAAGTAAAAAAATAAAAGATACTGGCATCAAGAAGATATGCTTTTCTATACATAAAACGGGAAGCTTCATAAAAGACTAAAAAGCACATGATATATTGAATGTCAGTGCACATTTCCTTTTAAGGAAGCTCAACAACCCCCTTTAAGTACTCGTGACTTTTAAAGAAGACTTTAAGTGGTCACAAAAACACAGAGTCTGATGTCCCTTCAGCTGCAGTGGAACCTGTAACCCATCTCTCTTCAAAAACCTGTTTATCCTTCACATGAGGTATGATTTCCAAATTATTTGAAATGTAAAACCTTTTGGATTTATCGAAATTTTGTTCTGCAGAAATAAACATTCAATATATAGATACCAAAGAATAATATCCCTATTTAAATGATGTCTTTCTGAGCTGTTCTAGTGGACCGACGGAAATAGAAATAGACCAGAAGAAGAAGAACAAGTATTAGAAGTGAGAAGAGGAACATAAATGTGACATATCCCTCATAAGGCATCAGCGGCGTGTCTGGAGCTTCAGCGGGGATCATGTTGGTCAGGTTAAGCATGTAACCTAATGTCCAGCCTGCATCACTGTCTCCTATCTGCACATAGAAAGAGGTTGACACAATAATCTCAATAATTTTCCATATTCATTGGCCCCAAAATAAATGTTACTCAATACTTCATTTTGAACAATATATATTGCTTTCTCACTTTATTTTTAACCTACATAAAATCTAACGTCTAACCTGTCTGAATACTTTTAATGAGAAATAATGTAACATTTTTAATTACACCATGCTTACCTTCATAATGAACCTGATGTCTTTCCAGCTGTTGGAGGTGAATTTGTATCCGTCTTCCAGAAGAGTGAGAATGTAGGTTGCTGAGAAGCAGTATTCTGAAAGGTACTTCTCTTTTATGTTGGGATGATTTTCTACAATCTTCACAAGTAAAAAAAGTATAATTTAGACATCATGTTCCAACAAAGGTGCAACCATTTTAAACATCCTTCAAAGACAGTTAATAAAGCATTTGACCTTTTTCCATGGTGTAGAACAGTACGCTGCTAGCTTCTGCTTTGTAGTTGCTAAAGTATCACTTGTCAGATTCAAAAAGTCCATCACAAAGAAGAAAGCTGAAAAGGCCTAGAGAGTCAAATGGCATACGTATTATCACTAGTTATGACTTACAACCAGCCATTCAAATTCTTTCAAATAAACTATGTACTGTACATTGTTTCTTACCCCAAAGTCTCCATAGACAGAAGGCTGGAAAACACCATTGAAAGAGCATCTTGAGTAAGGACAATCGATGGTATTAAAAACTTTTCTGATTGATTGTTGGCACTGAGACCAATTCCCAAGCCCTACATGGAAGAAGGTTTCATTTGCCAGTTTCATTTCTCTCATACAGGGTGTATTGAAGACATTTGGAACGGTCCTGGTGAAGTTATATCCAGGGTGAAAGCAAGGATCTCTTAACTCAATGGGGTCTGTCTTAGGGAAGAAAAAAAAACATTTAAAAATATAAGATACAATTGTATAAGAGTCAAGTGTGGTCTATATCTTTAGATATGCATTAAATAAAAATACAATAGTTAAATTGAATCAAAGCTACAAGAAGCTAAATTATTGTTCCTAACAAATAATGTCTGTCAAATTTAACAATGACAGCAATAATATTTGATTTGCTTTGCAAAGTATGCATCATACAGTATGTGCAGTAAATGCATTAATATACTACTATACACACAAAGCAAAAAGTTGTAAATAAAGAGAAATTGATTATAGGTTTTACAAACAAAAAATTGTATTTCAGTCTTTCTACTTTTTCACATTTAATTTAGTGTTACTTGCTTATTCTTTGTAATTATTTGTGATATTTACTAGAAGTGAAAACTGCACAGTTTTTTTTCAGTGCAATATTGCTTCAATGCACCACTTTATTGTATAGAATAAGTATAAATTCCCATAGACCCCTGGTCTGTACAGCTTCAACTGCAATGACAAGCATACCTTGTCAGCTTTAAGTGTTGACTCTAATTTCTTGCCCATAGAAAGCTTGAGAGCTTGGTCCTTCCCGTAACAGAGAAAGCTGTGGGTGTACAGGTGATAATCGTTTCCGTACAGCCTGAAGTCGATAGAATTGTCATATGATTCAATATTCTGTTGAGGTACGAAGGTTATCTGAGTAGACGCTCCACCCAGGTCCAGAGCTCCAAGCGTCCCTGTGGGCTGCATGATAAACACATATGACAATTGGCCTTTTCACACGGAAACTGTTTCAATAATCATTCTTATACTTAATATGAATTGTACACTGTATATATTCAGCACTGCAATTCTGTGAAAAAGGACTTTTGGGTTAAAAATTACAAATCAAAATGACAAATGTGAAACATTGCTAAATTCAGGTTAAAAACCACCATACCTTTCTCAAGTTTTTGCTCAGGTAATTGACTGTAATCCATCCGAAAGCTCCCTCTTCTTGGCCTGAAATGATACGAGCTCCCTGATAGGAGAAGGGGTAGCTCTTCAGTGAATGTGCTACAGAGTCCAGTACCTTATCTGAGGCTTCTTCATTCTCCATCCTTAAAAAATATTATTATTAGCCTTTACCACTCAACAATTAAATGATAAAACTGTTAATTTATAAATTAGTTAAATAATATACACTACGTTTGAATTGTAATGTTTTTTAAAGAAGTCTCTGCTCATCAAGGCTGCATTTATTTAATCAAAAATACAGTAAAAACACTGTGAAATTTTATTACAGTTTCAAATAACTTTTTTCTACTGTAAAAGGTTTTAAAATGTTATTTATTCCTGTGATGCTACGCTAGCTTAGTTGAGAGTAACAATTTGGTGCTCAAGAAAAGTTTCTTATTATTATTCATGTTGACAACAGTTTTTGATACTTGCATATATATGTTTGTGGAAACCGTGATACCATGCCAAGTTTGGGTTAAGTAAAGTTAAAAAAAAATTATACTTTTATTCATTATGAACACATTCAATTGTTTAAAAGTAAGAGTAAACACATTTTTTATGTTACAAACATTTTGTAGTTCAAATAAATGCTTTGCTTTTGAACATTGTATTCATCAAATAATCCTGAATTTCCTTTTTATATTTTAAAAATATTTTATATTTTTAACACTGATAATAAGAACTATTATTAATAGTTGAGCACCAGTAATAATTGATTCAAATAATGAGAATCAAATGAGCATATTAGAATGAAAGTTAAAAAATCAGTTTGCCATCACAGGAATAAATTATGTTTTAAAATATTTTTAAAATAGAAAATAGTTCTTTTAAAATTGTAATAATACTGTTTTTCATAAAAATATAAGTGAGTATAAGAGACTTCTTTCAAAAATCTTTAAAAATCATTTAAAAAAGTCTTATTCCACACTTTTGACAGGTGATGGACGTCTTTTTCTAATAGTTTTATTCTGAATTATTCTCGGCCACACTATACTCACTATTGGATTCTTGAGAAATTAGAATATTGAGAATTTATTACCTGAGCAGTCTCATGCCTGCTGTGGCTCCCAGGTACACAGGGGTTTCAGGGTGTCTGTGTGCGGGTATTTTCTGCTTGGCCTCCTCCATGCACAACTGCAGAGATGCGCCAGCCCCCTGTGGATTAGCAGAGTAACTAGAGATGCCTTTGCCTACAGGGCAGAAAAACAGAAAGAAGTTTTTCAAGACACTTTGCCTACAGGCTTTTTTCAGTATGCAAAAGTTGTTGGAAATAATGCGGTATGTTTATATAACTTCTACCGGGATAGACAGTTCACCCTAAAGTTACATGTCAGTCATGATTTACTCTTGACTTTCTTTCTTATGTTTTATCAGAATGTTTGAGCTGTTCTACAATGTCAGTGAATGGGGACCAGGAGCTGTCAAGCTGCAAATGGTATCATAATAGTAGTCCATATGACTTACATTTCATTATATACATTTAAAGGGGAGATAACACACAGTTTCACCCAATCTCATGTTAATCTTGAGTACCTATAGAGTAGTACTGCATCCTTTATATCTCCAAAAAGTCTTTAGTTTTATCATATTTATAAAATAAATATACAGCTTTACGATTCTCTCCGGGAAAAGCCGAGCGGAGGGAGCGGACCCGGGACGGAGCTAAATAGTGACAAGCACTTGAGCTCCGACTGCCAACAAAATACAGACATTTGATCAAGCGGCAACCTCCCCCTCTCTCTCGTGAAGCCAACAAGGAAGTGACTTAAACTGTAATTCATCGATTGGCCGCTAGAGGCTGGCTGCAAAAGGGAGTCAATCCCATAGACTCCCCATGTTAAAATGCCCAACTTTACAGCAGAAAAAAACATGTTTACAGCCTGGTTCAAAAAATTATTTTGGTCTATATAGCTATTTTTGCCCTTCATGACAACTGTGAGGGGGGTGCAATTTTTTTTATAACTCATCCGTTTAAATTATATTAAGCCTTAAAATTTTGCATAATTAAGGGCGTGGCCACTTGAGTGACAGGTGGATTGCCGCTGCTGTCACCACCGTCGAGCTAGGTGGGCGTGGTTTCAGCAACCGGCTCCCGCCTCTTTGCCCATTTTCGATTATCTGGGAGTGACGCGCGGTGGCGACAAGATGGCGACAGCCCGCTCCGCCCACTTTGGGCTTCAAAAAGGCTCTTCGGAACTCTACGGGTGACGTCACGGACACTACGTCCATATTTTGATACAGTCTATGCATTTGATGCAGTTTCACTTACCGTCTACAATTCTGAATCATGACCGGGATCTTTTATAGCTCGACCGCTCCATCCTTCAGTATCAAACGATGTGCAAATCCAGCATCGAACTGGGCCTTGCTTATAAAACGTTCGTCAACAACAAACACACTTGTGAAACTCCGTTACTGCTCCAGAAAAACAAACTGCATCCTGCTGTTTACATAACGTTGGGTTCTTTAGGAAGCTGAACAAAGTTATCTTTCCCTTACAACCAAAAACACACTTCTTTGGAGACATTCTTCCCGAGCGAGTCCCGTGCAGCGCTGCTGAATGAAGCTCGCTCTTGCTCTGGTCGATGCGCGCGCTTCCGGGAGAAATGCCCATATAAGGAGTTCCACCCTCGTCTACGTCATGAAGAGCCACGATCGAAAAAAAAAACTCTCTGAAACTTGTATGAACCCGGAAGTAAGATTTTTAGCACAGAAATACTGTGTCATAAATCCAAATGTTTTTTTTTATTTTGTCCATGCTTAGCATGAGAATCCGACTCTTTAACAGTGTAAACAACTCTGAATGCATGAAACAGCATTGTACCCCCCCCCCCCTTTAAAGTCCCCTGAAGCCATACAATAGCTCTTTATTTAATGAAAATCATGCTTGACAGTTGTGATCACTATATGGAAAACAGCAGCTTGGGGATTATGTTAAATATCTAATTTTTGGCTCCACAGATAAGGAAAGTCAGATTTTAAAGACATGGAGGGGTGAGTAAATGATGACAATTTTCTATTTTGAGTGGACAATTCCTTTCACATACTGAAAAAATGAAAAGGAAAAACACTATCCTAAACATGTAACTAGAAGTGTTTCTGTATGCAGATTACGTACCTTGCACGTTACAGGTGTGTTTCTGTCGTACCATGCCAGTGTTGTTCTCCTTCTCGGCTGGCCATTCATAGATAAACACAGAGGTATGGGAGGAACCTGCATCCAGAACTATTCCATACTGTCAAGTGTACAAGGACCATTGCATCAGTGAAATCTGTGCAAATCTAATGTGTAACAATAAATGGTTAAACTTAAAGCGTTAGTCATACTTTGCATTTCTGGTGTAAAGGCTTGTTCTGGATGACAGAAATAGCCACCATGATGATGATCCCCACGATGATAACAGCAGCCAGAAAGATGACCACTGGCCTGTGCCATGGGTTCTTGACTTTTACTTCAAAAAAGAAAAATAAAGAGAGCAGGTTGAAAATTTGCACTTATTTAACAGCTTCGGTACTTTTTGTTTACAGTGTAAGCATTTATGTACTTCATATTTTCCATAACTATATAGCATTTTTAATTACTAACAACAGTACAGGGTGTTTGGATTCAGTGCAAACCGTAAACTGAATCCTTGTGTTTGTTATCTCTAATCTAGTCTAAATAATAATTGTGAAGCAAATTCTAAATATTGTTTGTCTTTTGGCGAGGCTTTTTGTGGTATTAAAAGAATAAATAAAATGCCAACACCTACTGTCAGTTTAACGGAAAAACAAACAGAGCTTGAAAGCATGATGGCACTGTGTATTCTGCTGGGCATTACAGCTGTCTCCCCACTGTGTACACAATAAAGCCTCTAGAAGGCCCTTCATGTGTTTAGGTTTGATGTAGATATTTTACAGATCAGGAGAATTTTCACTTCAGTGAATATCTCTGAATTAAAGAAAATATCCAGTTTATATTTTCTGTGGTCGCAGATGCTGGGATAGGCTCCAGCATTCCCATGTCCCTGTAGGAAATGCTGCTTGGAGAATGGATGGATTTATGGATGGGTAATATTTGGGCTGAATTTTAAGTATAATTTGAATTTTATAAGTGTACCCATGGGAAAAGGGAACATTCTTCCTATGAAGAATGTGAATTTTGTGTTCAGAGTCACCGATGAAATTGTTTTAGTATAAAATGATTTAAAAATGCTATATTATGTGTTTTATTAATGCGTGTTTGTGGAACATTTGTGATGCTATCATTTGATAGTTTAATTTATCAAATTGATACTCAACATTGTACACCAGTGTTTACATAGACTTATAATCATCTTGAAGGGGAGACCAGGGAATGTTGCAGTAATGGGTGAGATGTAACACCATCAGTTTAACCAATCAGAAATGAGCTACAGTTGAGAACTCATTATCAAACAGGACCACCACCCTCCTGAAGTTCACACATATATATAAAAAAAAAATTTGTCTCGATATTTACTTTGTGATCATGTAATTGATATTAAATGACAGAACTGGTATAATCTAAATCAGTATGGTATATAACATTAACACAAGCTCTCTATAGCCTTCATGCATGGTCATTTTTATCCATATTCATATTTAGGATACTATTTTGAATTTTAAAAAATGTAAGTGAAATAAGGGTATAATGGGGTACCATAATTAATTTTAACAAGTAAATCTGATTACCACAACAAATAAAAAATAATGTTTTCAGTTAGCATTTCAGCTCTGATCAAGCATTGTGTCTAATTCACTAATTTATACATCTCCATATTGTTAGTTTCTACTTTATTTTGTAGCATATGGAAATATTATTTCAGGGTTTAAGACACGTAAAAACAGTTACACATCTCCCTTATAGCTAGTTTACTTCTAGTTCTTGCAAGCCCAATCAAGCCACATTTCATTAGGTTTAATGTAAGAAAAGCGGAAAGTATACAGTATATGCAGCAATGAAACATTTAAATCAGCGCGCCTCGTTGCGCTTTTCACCTACCCATCAGGACACGCGCCGGCTTCTCTTACTGGAGAAAACGGTGTGAAAACGGTTGTCGCGGTTAATGTGGCAAGTCCCATCCAACAGAGTATTAATCGATTCCTGCCCAATGAATTACAGCCTAGTCTTGCGAGTTAGTTTCTTTGCAGGGATTTGTTTAAGTAACGATCAGTCACATCTGTGTGCGTAGCTGCGGCTTTGCTTGGCACAAGTGATTTCGCGTTATTTTGGGGAAACACCCTTTGTGCAAGTGGCGCCAGGCTCCCAGTGACGTCACGGGGGGGAGTGAGAGGAATTCCCTGGTGCGCCCGTTTGGGGGGCTGAACCACTTTGGAGAGCCCGTGTGAGCTGCATACAGATCAGCCTCTGGTGCTGAAACTTTTGTCTTTGGCATTCAAGTCAGTGCCATTCAAGTGCCCTGGTCTGAAGACTATAAAATGCATCTTAATGCAATATTTACATTTTATTTCTCAGAATTGCATACTTTTTTTAATGTTTCATTAAAAAGTTAGGGAACTGTCTTCATTAGAGGACACAGTGGATGAAAGATGTGTCCAGTTCATGCAGAAGTTAAACATATATGTCAGAAATGAGATATAGAAATAGGCTAACTCGCGTTTAAATTTAACCACTTTACTACACGCACCGAATTTAAGGCATGTAGCAAGCAGATTTTATTTTCCAGAACAAATAACTCAGCTGTTCTCATAAAGCAATAAACAAAATGACTGAAATGCTAGACTGTTTCTCAAAAGACTTGGAATACAGCGCATGAGACATTTGGAAAACTTTATGACATATGTCATTTTAGCTTGACAGCCCCTATTCCCCATTCCCTTTGAGGGAAAAGAGATCTCCTGGATATTTCGTAAAAATCCACCATTTTTGTTCCACAGTAGTTAATGCTATAATGGTAAGTACATTTTCATTATTTTGTATTATTCCTTAGTAAGAACAGCATGGTTTCCCTTACATGGTAATACAGTACCTATACAGCACACAGGAATTACTGCAATCACACGTGCTCGCACACGCACACTACGGTCACGCAGTTTGCACAAAAAGGTGTTGTCAGCGCTGCCCTGGCGATTGTATGCCCCCCACAGGAAAATAGCATTTGCTGCATGCCGTTAATGCAGTGCATGAAGAGAAGAAATCAGATTTTAGGATAGAGTTCACCTTGTGTGTTCCGTATAGAAGAAGCTCATGCAGGTTTGGGAAAACATGAGGGTTATTTAATGAAGACAGAATATTATTCCTTTGACGCATATGGAAGATACTGTCATCCAGGACAAATTGATCTGTTGTCCTTGTTACAACATATTCCACCCAAATATTTTACTTACTGCATCAGGGTCCTTAATTGTCCTTATACTACGGGGCCGTTGAATGCTTGAATCTGATTGGCTGACGAACGTTCTGAGGCTGCCCTGGCGATTGTATGAGTTAGCCTATAGTGTAGCAACTTAAAGGCTACACATGCCATTTCTCACTAGCGAGGTAATAACAGCGCGGCGAACGTAGTTCCAGGCAGCTCTCCTGACCGCATTACAGGTCCATATCACTTCGCATAGTTAACTGTAATAACGGAGATTAGCATACAGTACCTATACAGCACACAGGAATTACTGCAATCACACGTGCTCGCACACGCACACTACTGTCACGCAGTTTGCACAAAAAGGTGTTGTCAGCGCTGCCTGGCGATTGTATGAGTTAGCCTATATAGTGTAACGTTAGCAACGTAAAGGCTACACATGCCATTTCTCACTAGCGAGGTAATAACAGCGCTGTTTAGAGACGCTGCTGCAGAACACTGTTGAGGGACGAATTCACACAAGCTCTCTCTCTCTTTCTTTCTCTTTCTCTGTGTGTCTCTGTCTCTCTCGCTCTCTTTCTAATAACTTCGTTAATAACTCCATTAGAATGCTATCAACGGCTCAAGCCTCCATTACCAGCTTTAAAAGGACGTTTTGGAGCTAGCAAAAGAGGCGTTGGATGAGATGCGGAAGAAATAATCTACTCACAATAGCGATTTAAGTACAAAAACCGGACGAATCCCTTTAAATATATAATCCGATCGATGTCTTGAGGTGTGGTAACCGTAATATAAACGGAATAATTGACTCCGGGCCGTTGAATTTAGGTTAATAATGCGCATTATTTTTCTAATAATTCAACGGCCCGGAGTCAATGATTCCTTACTTAGATGACTCGAACACTAAAAAATGCTGGGTTATTTTTTAACCCAAAATGCTGGGCTGAGTCTCTTGGGTCATGTTGTTGGGTCATTAACACATTTTAAACACTGTTGGGTAGTTTCAATTTTCCAGGTGTTGAGTTAAACCTGACCTCCGCGCCTTGAAGATGTTTAAATCGCTCCCCTAACTGTCATTTTGACAGGACAACGGGGCATAGCCACTGGTTTCAACTGTTTTAAGGTAATTTTATTTAATGTTTTCATTAATAATTATTTTAAATTGGCAGAATTATGACTTTTTTCGCAGCAACAATACTGTTAAACTTCTACAGGCCATCAATAAGTTATGTTAAATGAGGAACAGTTTATCTCAGGCGGCCGCACATGTAAGTTACTCGCTTAATCGTGTTAAGGTATCTGAGAAGACAGATTAATAGTTTTATTAAGTATCAGACAGTGACGGAAGGCTGAAATATGTGAATATCTGTGAAAATAGAGGAAATAGTCGTCTCTGTCACTGAAAAGCGAATTTAACAAAGTGAGTCAAATAAGTTCAACTAAGTGAATACGACTTTCTGCTCGAATGTAAACGCCTGCAATCGTCCATATCGACATGTAAATCACATACAAATTACGTACAATGTCGTCGGACCGCAGGTCTAAAAGAACCGACGATCCGGTTCAAATAAACCGGTTCATCAATTCTCGAACAAAGTGATTCCCGGGAAGGAGTCGAGTCAGGGCCTCAATACATTTCAAAGTGCGAGTGCCGTAAGCTGCGTTAGTGAGGTGATTTGATGCTTGTGTGGTTTATAAAGTCCTTTTACATACGTAAATAAAGGTTTCTGATAAGTCATATAATTCAAAATGTCGTTTTTTCTTGTCAGAAAAGCACATGGATACATTTGTGTGGATACAGTCTTATCGAGACGTTTAACGGTAAATTCATGTTTATTATACATTTTACAGATTTTACATACATAATTGATTGTCTGTGATAATCAACTAACCCTTGCGTAACTTGATCGCACATATAAATTAGTTTCGTGCTCACAAAAAGGTGTTGTGAGCGCTGCCTGGCGATTGTATGAGTTAGCCTATATAGTGTAACGTTAGCAACGTAAAGGCTACACATGCCATTTCTCACTAGCGAGGTAATAACAGCGCTGTTTAGAGACGCTGCTGCAGAACACTGTTGAGGGACGAATTCACACAAGCTCTCTCTCTCTTTCTTTCTCTTTCTCTGTGTGTCTCTGTCTCTCTCGCTCTCTTTCTAATAACTTCGTTAATAACTCCATTAGAATGCTATCAACGGCTCAAGCCTCCATCACCAGCTTTAAAAGGACGTTTTGGAGCTAGCAAAAGAGGCGTTGGATGAGATGCGGAAGAAATAATCTACTCACAATAGCGATTTAAATACAAAAACCGGACGAATCCCTTTAAATATATAATCCGATCGATGTCTTGAGGTGTGGTAACCGTGATATAAACGGAATAATTGACTCCGGGCCGTTGAATTTAGGTTAATAATGCGCATTATTTTTCTAATAATTCAACGGCCCGGAGTCAATGATTCCTTACTTAGATGACTCGAACACTAAAAAATGCTGGGTTATTTTTTAACCCAAAATGCTGGGCTGAGTCTCTTGGGTCATGTTGTTGGGTCATTAACACATTTTAAACACTGTTGGGTAGTTTCAATTTTCCAGGTGTTGAGTTAAACCTGCTGGGTTGCAACGACCTCCGCGCCTTGAAGATGTTTAAATCGCTCCCCTAACTGTCATTTTGACAGGACAACGGGGCATAGCCACTGGTTTCAACTGTTTTAAGGTAATTTTATTTAATGTTTTCATTAATAATTATTTTAAATTGGCAGAATTATGACTTTTTTCGCAGCAACAATACTGTTAAACTTCTACAGGCCATCAATAAGTTATGTTAAATGAGGAACAGTTTATCTCAGGCGGCCGCACATGTAAGTTACTCGCTTAATCGTGTTAAGGTATCTGAGAAGACAGATTAATAGTTTTATTAAGTATCAGACAGTGACGGAAGGCTGAAATATGTGAATATCTGTGAAAATAGAGGAAATAGTCGTCTCTGTCACTGAAAAGCGAATTTAACAAAGTGAGTCAAATAAGTTCAACTAAGTGAATACGACTTTCTGCTCGAATGTAAACGCCTGCAATCGTCCATATCGACATGTAAATCACATACAAATTACGTACAATGTCGTCGGACCGCAGGTCTAAAAGAACCGACGATCCGGTTCAAATAAACCGGTTCATCAATTCTCGAACAAAGTGATTCCCGGGAAGGAGTCGAGTCAGGGCCTCAATACATTTCAAAGTGCGAGTGCCGTAAGCTGCGTTAGTGAGGTGATTTGATGCTTGTGTGGTTTATAAAGTCCTTTTACATACGTAAATAAAGGTTTTTGATAAGTCATATAATTCAAAATGTCGTTTTTTCTTGTCAGAAAAGCACATGGATACATTTGTGTGGATACAGTCTTATCGAGACGTTTAACGGTAAATTCATGTTTATTATACATTTTACAGATTTTACATACATAATTGATTGTCTGTGATAATCAACTAACCCTTGTGTAACTTGATCGCACATATAAATTAGTTTCGTGCTATAGTTAAAGCTGCACTTTGTAACTTTGTGTTCAGAATGTAACGTTACATAATTTATATAATGAGCGAATATATCATATACCCATTTTTCCAAATGGTGTTTTTGACTTGTCCTGAATCACTTTGGTACACCTATAAGTGTTTATATATGGACTATTTTAAAGCTGCGGAGTAATCCAGTACCTGCGTGACTTGTCATAGAAATGTCTGTGTGTGCCTAATATGCAGTGTGATCTCCCATATCTGTGTGCCAGTGACTGTGCATGTGTGTTTCGATATAGCCAGCATATTAAAGGGTTACTCCACCCCAAAATGAAAATGTTGTCATTAATCACTTACCCCCATGTCGTTCCAAACCCGTAAAAGC